TGTTGGTTTATAGTAAATACACAAGTTACTAACCTAACCTAGTGTTATTTGTATGAACTAGTGTATTTACTATAAGCCAACAGTTACTAACCTAACCTAGTGTTATTTGTATGAACTAGTGTATTTACTATAAGCCAACAGTTACTAACCTAACCTAGTGATATTTCTATGAACTAGTGTATTTACTATAAACCAACAGTTACTAACCTAACCTAGTATTATTTGTTCATTTGGAAAAAAGGAAGAATACAGATTCTGTTTCCATTTTTTTTTTGTCTACTTTTGTAGCTCCAGCGAAGAGGTTTTCCCTCTCTCAAACCGAAGTTTCTAGTTCGGATGTGGGAGTGTCTTGTGAAGCTGTGGGACTATATCCCCGACCTGAGATCTCTCTCAAACTAATCTTCCCCCAAACCTCAAAACAGTTGTTGTTACAGGAATCTAAAAAATACGTGAATATCACGAGATCACTTTATTCCATCTGGCTCAGTGGATGGTTTCGTGAGGATGATCTACCAGAGACAAATAAGATTGTTGTGGAGTGCGAAGTTTCTATTCCAGGGACCGATTACAAAGTGTCCAAGGAAATATCCTTTTACACAGGTACCTTTTTTTCTTCTTCTTTTTTTTTTCACGCAGTTTGTTTTTTCTCAGCTCTAAAGTAACCAGTGAAGCGTTTCTAAATAGCGATCTAAGTAAATGTGGGCATTTATATTCCTGAACACTTGTGCCCACCCCACTAGGCTTAAATTGGGTTTCGATACCCGTGATGGGCAGAGCACAGATAGCCCATTGTGTAGCTTTGTGTTTAACAACAACGAAGCTGAATATTTTAAGAAATTAAGGTGTCACTAGGGGGGGAGCTAACTTTATCTATTTGTTAAATTAGAAGTTTGTTGAGATGAACATTTTTAAATTTTATGTCGTTACGAAAATAAAAAACTTTCGTGGGATTTTTTGACCCCAAAATTATCATTGTTTAGATGCGCGTGAAAAGATAAGTCATTTTCTGGAAACTGGTATTATCTGAGGGAAGGTACTCCAGGATAACTGCACTCCTTCCTCTGCTCTTGATAACCAGATTGTTAACCGGGAGAAGTTCCCTAACTTAATTGGAACTACAACAGAAAGAGATATTATAGTGACAAAATTACATCGGCCTTTCACTCGAGTGTGAAATTATACATCTTGATCGTTGTTGCAGCAATAATTGAAAGCTCGAGCTGTGAGAATATTCAGCTTGGTATTATCGGACCGTTTTAAGCCTAACGTTCTGTTGGACGGAAAGACGTAATTATCTGATTACAACAGTACTTTAATTCCCTATTAAGGCTTAGCCGGGGATCTATGACACGAAAGTTGTTTAACTCGTTCCGCTACCGTAATAAACTTGAAACGGGCCAAAGGTAGCAAGAAATACAAAGGTACTTAAAATCTTATTTATGGGTGAAATTAGATTGGTTTCTTTCATTTATTAACTGTTTCAGTAATGTTACTAATTGATCAACATGTTTAACAATAGATTTTAATCCTTCCAAATTAACTTTAAGTTCATGAGATTAACAGCTTTTTTCCAAATAACTTAAAGTGACAGGGCATTATGACCTAATAGTTAGCGTGTTGGACAGCGGTTTGGAATGGTCCGAGGTTTGAAACTACGATACACCACTAACACTTTCACGCGCACTTTCAGAATTTGGTTCTTATACAAGTAATCGTCTCCGTCGCTATTTGTGTAGGCGGCGGATGCTGCTGATTATTTGCCCTTCCTCAGATCAGTAGTTCCAAATCATCCATGGCTATCCAGATCTGTTAGTTCATATAGTAGATCCGCAGGATCCCCGGATGTGTTCTGTTTCAACAGTAAACAAAAGTAGAATTAAGGGTAACAAATATTTTTATTTCTTGGTTTTGAAGTTCATATATCATGCTGTTTTGTAGCCTACAGAGTGCATAATTCTTCTCGTGATTCATGACGTTCTACTGACGTCATAACAATAGAAATTGCAACGTTAATCGTCCCTTATTTGATATCATTTTACTGTCCGCTGATTGACAGACAACACACTACTGTATATTGGTGCGAGTGGTTAAAACAGGTGACCTCGAAAGGGGGCTGAATGCCGGCTAGAAATTCTTATCTGCTAATAATGTTGCCCAGTAAATAAGACAATTTGAACAATTATGCTACTTCCCAGACCGTACGTAGACCATGGGTTTTGATTTTTTTACCCTAGTCAGTAGATTTTCGGTTCAACCCTAACAACTAATTTTGAACTACTGAAAGCAGCCATTCAGCAGCACCCTACACAACCCACCATCCACACCGAGGAATTGATTGACTGTGATTCTGATAGGGCTTACACAGCTTAAAATTGAGGGGGATATTTTGTGGTAACGCCGGTTCGCTGGCTAAGAAGTTCAGAGCTCTACCATAGAGCCAACTACGCCCTCTAACAAACTGAACTAATTGGGATAGGTTAGAAGCAGTGAACTTCAGAGTACTATCATGGGGCCAATCCTCGCCATCTAACGAGCTCATCTAATTTTCGCGGGTGTTAAAGATTTCATTTCTTTTCCACCAAAGGTAAAATTGAAAAAGATAATCTGTGACGTAGAGACTAGTGCATTCTTTTATTGTCCGAACCCTGTGATGTAGACTACAGTTTCTTCTATTCGAGACTCATCAGCACAGCTTGAGTCAGCAAACCAAAGGAATACAGTTAGGCCTATTATAATAGTGAAATGTATATAATATTTATACGTGTTTTGGGTCCTCTTAGAGTAACCTAAATTAATTTAGGTTACCATGGTGAAGTAAAACAGAATCAAACCCCCCATAGTAATATATTTCGTTTAGTCAAGCTATTATAAATGAATATGACGTCAGAGGAACTTATGAATAAACTTACTTCTTCACCGTTAAAGTTGAAATGAATGTCGGTTGTTTTTGGTGAAATTTTTATTGTTGTTTGTAGTGAGAGTATAAACAGATGTATATATAATATGATGTTTGTATCTTTCATTTCAGGACTTACTACATCAAACAGAGGTGAGGAAATAAATCCTACTTTTACTTCATCTTAATTGTTCTAATATATACCGCAAGAGTATCGTATTAGGGCGCCATCTGTAGTCAGTATTCTTGGTTTTCCTTGCCGAGCGCCAAAAGTTCGAGTTCATATTTTCATAAGCAGTTTACAGAGGGTCGGGTTATTGGATATGAGAAAGGGAAATACCCTTATAATAAACTAATAATAATATTTGTAATACCCTTGTAAAGTGTTGATCTTTACCTCTTCCTAAACAGAAATGATCTGTAACCGTTTTCTCATAGAGGGAGCCTGCATATTGTTTGAATGTTAGTCTTACGTGATTTTTTTTATTTCTTGTGTTCCTGATTTTTGTAACATTTCAGTGCCAGGTTTTCGATATTCTGTATGAGGAATCAGCTTCTTATATAGTAGTTCTTTTCCTTTTTATTTTCACCTTTATTCTACTTTAGTAAAATTACCTGTGAATTTTTTTTTTCCCCTCTCGATTTCTTTTGAAATGTTTTTGTCGTGAAGGTGGCGTCCTGATGGGGAACTCTTTCCAAAATGACTACGTACAAAATGCACTAATAAAACCTTAATAAATATTGATTATTTATAGAACATATACGATAATAAACCCAGTATTGACCACAGACAAAAGCCCTGTGTAAAGTCTTCAGAAAATGTTCTAGAATCTTCTCTACAAGGAATGTTCTTATAGAAATGGCAGTTATACTTGAATTTATGTTTCATTACAATGTCTATATTTCGGTTTCAATTAAATGTTTAAGAAACAATCTTGATTATGAAACCCAACACAGTTCATGTCGGGAAGTCATTACAACCAGTTCATGTCGGGAAGTCATTACAACCAGTTCACGCAGGGAAGTCATTACAACCAGTTCACGCAGGGAAGTCATTACAACCAGTTCACGCAGGGAAGTCATTACAACCAGTTCACGCAGGGAAGTCATTACAATCAGTTCACGCAGGGAAGTCATTACAACCAGTTCACGCAGGGAAGTCATTACAACCAGTTCACGCAGGAAAGTCATTCTAACATTCATGTAGTGAAATAAACATTAAATAAGTTAAGTTACAAAAAATATTTATAATTTTATACTTCTGTGACTAACAGTAAAGTCTATACTGTTATTCACTTTCTTGTTAATCAACAACTTCCACGTTATGTTCCACGCTGGATCAGCTGCAAGTTTACTGACTTGCAATGCTAAAATCCGGGGTTCGATTCCCCGCAGTGGCCACAGCAGCTAGCATAATGTGGCTTTTTGTTAAAACACACACATTATTGCACTCAACTCATATTAATTTATAAGTAACTTCTGAGAACACAACACACACCAGAACTTTACAAATAATGTAAATAATTTAATATATCGATTGGGAACTAAAAATTGTTAATGGTTGAAAAGCATTGATCCATAATCTGGGTAGTCTCGCTATTATCGATGTTTTCGGTCATAAACCCAGTAATACATCTTCAGATTTGGTCACTTAGAAGAATGCATGCTAGTCCTAAATCTGTATATTAGGCTAACAATGCAAAATAATTCTCGAAATGTAAAAAAAAATAATAATAATAACATTTTGTATTATGTATATACTAGCCGCGACTGTATGTATATGCTAGCCGCGACTGTATGTATATACTAGCCGCGACTGTATGTATA